TGTTGCCATTTGCTTAGCATTAGTAGTAGTCATGCTAAGGCTTCCCTAGGCCTAAGTATAAACTTTCTATGAACCTAAGGTAAAAGTCTGTAATTGTGGTGTAAGCTGTTTTGCAAGGAAGATGTAGCCTCTTGCAGAGACAGGTTATCTATGGAAAGTACCTCCTTATCTAAAGAATGTACCTTGTTAGCAGAGCCCAAATGGTAAGGTGTATCTGGTAATTCTCAAGTATACTTGAAAGTGGTTAAACTGTCACAGGAAACTGTTTTGATGTGGTAATCAAGTAAGAAACATATATAAACCCTGTGAATTGTCTGTGACTTCGGGCTCTGACTTTGGACGCTAGTCCTCAGGCTCCGGGGCCCCAATAAAGCACCGCATAAAACAACTCCGGTTGTTTTGTGTTTTCTTCGGAACGGGCAACACCCTCATTGTAATATCGCTAATGCTCATTGAATTGAGGTGGTGGTCCTAGGGGGTCCCAGGGCTGTTTTTGTGGCCGCCCTAGCAGCTCAGGGTGTGAACTTTGGATGCTCTCCCGGTGCTTTTACTCCTTTTATGTTAGTGCTTTTGCCTGGTCCAGGTGTAACATCGATCACATCTTTGTTCTCCTATCCTCTTCTCCCATCCATCCACACTCTGGTTCCTGCCCAGTGAGCATGTCCTATACATCTGGTTTTAATTGTTATCCAAAACATACAATCCCCCATTTCTAACCCAGCGACTGTGTCCTATCTACTTTGCTTGAATTGTCTAAGAGCACAATTATCTAATACACTTCATTTTGATTATTGTCCAAGAGGACAGTACTCTATTTCTAGGTTAACCCTTTGGAATCAACAGGGAGAAAACCTCTGAGAGCATTGAGTCCAGCTGTTTCCCCTAGCAATGCCAAATCCCTCACTAGAGCATGTCCCCAAGAGCCACATCTACACCTTTTTTGAATGCTACCAGGGTTCAAAATTGCTTCGTGAGCACTTCCCTGGGCCTCTCACTCCAACACTTGACCACCCTTTCTATGATGGAATTTTTCCTAATATCCAATCTGAACCTCCCCTGGTGCAATTTGAGGGTATTTCCTCTTGTCCTATCGCTTGTAACTTGGAAGAAAAGACCAACCCCCACCTGGCTACAACCTCCTGGCAGGGAGTTGCAGGTAGCAATAAGGTCCCCCCTGAGCCTCCTTTTTTCCAGGCTCCCTTAGGTGCTCCTCCTATGACTTGTGCTCCAGATCCTTCCCTGGCTCCACTGCCCTTCTCTGGACTTACTTTAGCACCTCAGTGTCCTTACTGGGATGGGCCCCAAACTCAACCAGGGCTCAAGGTGCCTCCCCCATGCTGAGCCCGAGGGGACAATCACTGTCCCAGTCCTGCTGGCCACACTATTGCTGGTACAAGTCAGGATACCACTGCCCTTCTTGGCCACCTGGACACCCACTGACTTATATCCAACCATCAGCCAGCACCTCCAGGTCCCTTCCTGCCTGGGATTTCATTTTTCATACACAACATGGTCTTTTTTTCCAGCTTCACAGCACAAACTGTACATCAGAGCATCCTGAAGTTTCTGATACAGAAATAACTTGAGAAATTTCTACCACCACCACAGGGGATAAAAATCATTGGGGGTTTTGTAGTGCTTCCAAGGCATTCAGGGTAACTAGGGCCACATGAATGGAAAGCTCTGTGTCCTGGCTCACCTGGCAATGCAGTGACAGCAGTGGGAGAAGCCAGAGGACACCAGGTGCTTCTAGCTACACCGAACCACTCTGGCTGCTGCAGTGTTTCCACAGCACAGAACAGCACCCAAAAACAGCAGAGAAGGGAGAAAAACATCCTTACCTTTTCACAGGGAGCAAAATTTATCACAGCAATGTACTGGGTTAAATTCTGTTTTGCTTTAAATGGGAATTTATGCAGGGCACTCATCTGAAGTGCTGCACGGGCATGTGCTGTGAAGAGCAGAAATGCTTTATATTGCCACCTGCAGATACTGCAAGCAGGCAATGAGAACATCACGGTGGGGTTTTAAGACATCCTGGCACGTATTTGCAGCTCAGGTCTTTTTTGGACTAAGGCAGAATCATTTCATCTGGAGTTTGTATGCACAAATCTGTCACTCAGACAAGAAAAGAAAACAATTTTGTCTTCTAAGCCTTTATAGCACCACTGTAACATATTCAAATGAAAAGAAACATTCTGAAGCAACATTTGAAGTGTTCCTTTGTGTAGACAACTCAGTAACACAATGTAGCTGTGTGAAACCACTTTTATTAAAACCACTTGGGTTTTTTTGGCTTTTGATTGACAGTTGTAAGATTATCACTGTAATTAAATGTGCAGCTTGAAAAGATGTACAAATTCTAGTATTTATTTGCTTTAGAGGTCTTTAATAAATTTCAAATGTTTTAAGCATCATAACCCTGTAGCTGACTCTGCAAATTGGTGATTCTCCAGAAAGGTTGATGTTTCAGTGCTGACAGGAAGAAATTAAAAGTACCTCTTTACAGTCCTGAAAGTTGCAGAAGTAATGAATTGTATGTGGAAGCTGGATGGAAGACCATGGAGAATTACCCTAAGAAAGAGGTATGAATACAGCAATTTATGTCTAGGAAATAGCAAAGCATGCCACAACAGGGCAAGGAGGGTGAAACAATGAGTACAAAGTGCTTGTTCAATGTTGCAAATTTTTCTTGTTCTGGAGTTCTAGCAGCAACAAGGGTGAGTGGATTCCCAAGGATGACTGAAAACTCTGCTGGTGAGTGAGGTTATTATAAGCATAGAATTGTTCAGGCTAGAAAAGACCTTAAGGTCCCCTCAACACAGAGCACTTAAAATAAATCCTTGCAGGCCACTTGGTGCTTTTTGGTGAATACTGGAAATAGGAACATGCAGAGGTGGCCACAGATGACTTCTGGCCACAGGCAAGGCAGAGCAGCTCCCTCTCCTACCACTCCCCTCTGCCTTGCACAGGGTCAGAGCTGTCCTCACAGCTCTTGCCTACACCTCTGTATAACTGAATTTGAAATGTGAGTATTGAAATAACATGTTCAGAAATATTTGCTTATGTTGGTCATTGTGTTAATGATTTGAAGACATATTTAAACATGTGGATAGAACAATAACCACTTCGTTTAAGAAACCTAGATGTAACCAAGAATGAAGAATTGCCCTGTTGATTCCTACATGTAAAAGGCACTAAAATTTTCCAGAGTATTAATAACGTTCTGTTATTTGAAAGTAATAAGGTATTCTGGATATGCCTGAATGTCATTAAATATGACAAACGCTGCTGGATTAGACATCTTATCAACCACACTGTCATACAGGTCAGTAGGATCTGATGGGTTTTTTGGTGGTGGAGTGATTAATCCTTGGCTCCCAGCACAGTACTGCCCAGTGAGGACCCGAGCCAGGTACACGTATTTTTTGCCATTCGCATCTGGAACGGAGTAAGTGTTCTGAGCAGAATAACTTGCATCAACAGCAAAGTAGGTTCCATTTCCATAGGCTGCAGCTGTTTGGAAAGACAACATTTTCAAATATAGTTAGTGTTTCTATTCTCATAAGAATCTCTAAAGCTCCCTTTTTTTTTTTTTACTTTAAACTCTGCGAAAGTTATAAATTTGGTTAAACAGAAAACTCTAGTAATAATCTTTTGTATCAGAATCAAATATAGACCAACTATCCACACCCAGGTTTTGACTACCCTTTCCTATGGAGAAAGGAGCTCCTCCATCTGTTTAGACTTGTTTAGCTTACAATCCATCAGACTGAAATTTTCAGAGACTTTTCTCCTTAAAATGACTATATAATTGTAATTACAGTTTTCCAGTCACATTTTCCAGCTAGTTAGAGGAATCACATCTGTATATAAGACAGATTTTTCCTAACATTGGTAGAAAGCTGTTCAAGCCAGACAGGTCCTTCCTATCTGGCTGCTCTGACCTTTGGATAATTTTGCTTGGCTGCCCAGCCTGATGGAAGGGAAGTGTGCCTTTCCACTTCACAGCTGAGATGAAGAGCTGGATATCAATACTCACTGGCAGAAAGAGGACATGGGGATCTACAGCTCTTGCTTCCCAAGTAAATCCAACCTCCTGGCACTACCAAAGAGCAGGAAAGTGAAACTACATCTCCTCTGGTTGTGTGTTTTAAAAAGAAATGGTGTCTGCCATTCCTATCTGTGCACAACCTGATACATTTTTTCTATGCTGGGCTTCACTTATTCAAGAAAATCTCAGTGTAAGTACCTCCAGATGATCTGGACAGAGAAAGGTTTACTTTTGGATCCAGACCACAAATACCAACTAGATCTGAGTTAAGCTGTCCAGCTCTCTCAAGATCAAGTCAGCCCTAGGCATGTACAACTGCGTCTTAAGAAAGAAAACATTGAGAACAGAAATTAAGGACTTCTGAAGTAAGGGTACAGAGCCTCCAACTCAGTTCAAGTTGCACTTCTTTGGATCCTGCCCTTCATCTTTGAATGTTACCACATAATATACCTAACATGACTACTAGAGCAACTTGACAAAACAATCTTTGAACTAATGCAGAAAGTCTTGATGTTAAATATTTAATAGCTGTCTCTAACAACTATTAAAGAGAAAGAATTAAGTAATGAATCTCAACAGATTTCATGAGCATAAAAATAACTGGGGAGTTGGATCTTCTCATTGCTTGTGCTGTCCTGACCTTTGGAGGCAACATGAGAAATATCTGCACCTCTGCTTTGCCACCTGCCTTTGTTTAAGAGGAGAGGATACACCAGCATCTAGTAGCTGATATCTCAGCTGAGAATGTTGAACAGTGATCCTTGTTCCTCAGGCAGATCATACAAAACATTTCTCAAAAGCTGCCCAGGCTTGATTTCAGATTAGGTGAAGTTCTTGCTGATACCCTCTAGATGGTGGCATTTAGGAACAAGGGATTAACTAAACATGTTCATTCCTCTGTCCATATAGATTGCCCTCTGAAGTTATGTATTATTTTGCTCTCCAGCCTTATTCAGCCTTCACGTTGTGCTAGCAGCACTATAATGTTGACATTCTGTGGCACCCATACATGTCTAGGAAATGAGCTGATTTGGATACTGACTCACCATTCTTTCCAGCAAACCCACGATTGAATCCATTGTAGTTGATGGTGCTCAGTGAGGATACAGCAGTCCCATGAAACAGCAACTTCTCATTATCTTCGGTTTTGTTCTTTGTACAGAGAGATCTTTTTTTGATTTGGTATGTCTGCCAGAGGTAGGGATTTTGTACTCTTTCAATCTGCAAAATGACAAAATTATATTTACACCAGTAGGGACAAATATTTATCATAGCAGGAAAACACTAAACCAAAACAAAACTGAAAGAATGACAGCAGTTTTCACTGTAACCTGTTAGGATGTGGTTTGGGTAAGGGAACTGAATACGTAAACCTTGTGGAAAATCAGAAACCAAAGCAGCTCACAAAAGATTTTCAAGCTTAGCAATTTTGAGCATACACTTGTCTTGCATAGTACACAGGGACACAGCAATCATGGTAGCAGTGCATTGTCATTTCTAGAAACAGGCTGCTGTACCACTGCCAGAGGCAATGACACAAGATGCCTTCTGTGCATCCTAATCATCTTTATTGAAGATTTTCACACTGAAGGATAGACTATAGCAATAGCACTGCATTGCATAGAAGTTTCTCTTCTAGAGCTAAGCTTGGAAGTCAAAATTGCTTCCTTTAATGTGTAGCTTAGCAACCCATTAGAAGCTCCTATGTAAAAATAGGTGGTAGGATAGATGTTGCTGGCTCCCTGTGCCACCAATGTTAACATGGATCAAGGGGAAGCAGAGTCTCTGCATCAGAGAATAATCTTAAAGACATTGCAGCTTTCCATTTTTAATGGAAAAAGACACCCTGCCATTTTTTTCTGATTTTTGTCTATAGTACACTACTATTTTGTTCTATTTGTGTTTTCTTGACCATGTTCATTGAAGCTCATGATGGAAGAAAATTTTTCAAACACACTATTCTCTCTCTTATAAGATTTCATCGTATTGTCTCCTATTTATGTCTTCTCCTGATTCCATCTTCCCTCACAATTAAATCTCTGTGCACTGTGGTGCAGACTTCTTAATAAGCAGGATCAAATCTTGACACTTTGGTTAAAACCAATGGCCTAGCCTGAAAGGCTCTGGGAATGACAGGGAAGAAACTGTAAAATAGTCAAAAGCTTCATGGTCAGTTTGCAAGCAGTTTGTCTTTTTCATTGTGTTCTGAATACATTTGCTCATGTTTCCATTTCAAAATTGAACTTCCTAACTGGAAATACCACATTACCTAGTGAGTACCATGTCAGCTGAACACAGAGTCAGCCTGAAGACTGATGGTCACTTTTTTGCACTATTAGACGCCAGAAATGACAGAGCAACTCTTAGGAAATTTGCTTTGTTTTATATTCACCCTGTACAGTGCTGAGGAGACTGATGTATGAAAGTTGTATTAGGTTGCAAACACCTTATCAACAAATATTTAGAAATTATATTAATGTTTCTAGCCCAAGCATTGACATTTTTTGCCCTCCCATAGGATTTCACCTTCTCAATGGTAAAGTTGGGACAGGTTTTCCCAAATTTGTTCTGAACTACTTTATATTCCTGATGTGATGGCTTGAGATCCACCAGTTTGACCCGTTGCTTTTGCATGTCTTCCCAGTTCTTAGGGAGCTCTATTGACTGCAGATCTGCAAAACAAAGATTGTACTATTATGACAGCTCAGCTTCACAGGCATATCTTACAAACCAAATGCACAGAGCAGGCTAAGAGGACAGCACCTTTTGCAGTGCTTTATTCTACAAGTACTCTCTCTCTTCCAGACATCACTGGCTCTGTAATGCACTGTGAAGACTCTACATTTTCTCCAGCCTAATTATCCTCATACCAATATCTAACTAAAACAAGCTTGAAAACCACAGAAGAATTTTATATATTCTTCATACACCACTGCCATTGTCAAACTTCAGCATGAAGTCTATGCTCACCCGTCACAAATGCATGGACAATGTTGGTGTTTAAAATAGATGTTCTGATTTCAGTCATACTTGCCACTAATTAGGGTACTCAAAACTGCTATGATATGTCCAAGAAAAAAGAAAAAGGTAAAAAAGCTCTGGAATACCTTATTTCTTTGGGATACCTGAGTTTGTATTCATCAGACTTCAATAATCACTATTAAAGGGTTTTTTTAATTAACTAAAGTGTAATTTACCTTCATCCTTTGGCATACGTTGAATGCTTATAGTTTTTCCTTGCCCATCAGTAGCCTGTAGAGAATTCAGATCCACCTTGTAGTTCTTCTTGTTAATTTTGACAGTAAGAGATGATTTTTTAGCTATTTTGGCATCCTCCAGCTGCATATTTGTCAGTTTATCAAAAGCAACAAAGCTATCACTGCTTCCTGCATACCTCCATTCCACCAGGTTATAAAAAAGTTCTGCCTTGGATCGTTCTTCTTCAATATTCTTAAGTTTTTGGATCATGTTTTGAACTTTTACAGAAACAAAACAGACATCCCTGCTGATACCAGAAATTTTAATTTGAGGGGGAGAAATCCTGTTTTCAATCTGAATGGTGACATGCTTTCTTCTCTGGAGATCATCCAAAGTGTGAATTTGCCTCTCATCAAAACGTTCAATTAGCTCGTCTGAAATAATGTTTTCAAACTGTTCCTTTAAAATTAAATCCTCTATCCAGGACTCAGCTGCATTCACGTTTTCTTGGCTTTCTCCACAAATTTCAAACGTGACTAAATCAACTTTCTTCTCCAAATTCACAGGCTTTGTCTTCTCAGTGGATGGCCTTTTTGCCCAAAACAAGGCTGTGAATAAACACATTAACTATTAATTGTAAATAAGAGACCTTTAGCTCTGTGTGCCCACACTCATGGAAAACCCACCCACTTACATTTGAACCTAGATATCCATGATTCCACTGTGGATGACTCTGAATCTTCTCTTTTCTTCATGCTTTCATAAAAGTCCTTGAGCATATTTGTCTGGAAGATGATGATTTTAATTTTTTGTAAATGCTGTACTGATTTCTGGCTTGCAAATTCCACTATAGCATCCAACATTTCATCAGCTACCTTTGCTGGACTCTGTCTTGCTCGACCTAAACAAAAATAAACGACACGTATCAGTGAACCATTTCTTGTACAAGTCTGTTGTTCCCCATATCAGAGGTACTAAGTTTGTCCCAGTTTCTGAATGATCCCCATCACAGCCCTCTTTGCTTTCCTGAGAAAACACAAACCTGTTCCAATAGCTGGGAAGGCAACAGATTTGTACATCTTCTTCTCACACTCATTAAGCACGCTGGAGACCTGACTCTTCACTTCGTTATTGGTAATCAAGTGGATGATTTTACTGCACAACAGATTTCCACCTTGTGTAGTAACAAAGCCACTTTGACGCTTCCCAGCTGGAAGGGAAAAGATAAAGAAGGAGACATAACATTTTCAAAGTGCCTATCTCTTCTGATAAGACAATGGTTATATTGATGCTAGAATTAGAAGAAGTGGAAAGAAATCCACTGTGAGCTATATTGTCCTGGGTTTAGTTGATTCTGGTTTTCTCTGTAAATATTCTGCAGAGTAAATATGTGTTTTCTAATTTCCTGAGATCTCTGCAACAAAGTAGTTTCCTATTAGGTAGAATTTAAGAACTTATGATGGCTTTTAAATGCAGCTCCCTTTTATTTAAAAGCATGCCAAGAGAATGTGCGCAATCCATTTATATGAGAAATCCTTTCTTATGCCACTTATTCCTTGAAAGCTCAAACTCTTAATCTGCAAAAGAACTGAATTGTTAAAATAATATCATTATGACCAGCTGATCTGAGAACTTCAGTATGAAATCTTTCAAAAGATTTATGATTTATGATTTTTCAGAGCACTCATTATGTTTGATTACAAACACCTAAAAGTGAAGTCATATTGTGAGGATGAATGGACTGATGAACAGAGAGTTCCATTCCACCTCACAGATCACAAAGGTAATGACTGATTGTAAGATTCTCTGCGTTCACCGAGATCAGGCTGATAAATACAGAGAGCCAACAGAGCCAAAGGCTGGGAAAATACCCAGGAAACTCTGTCTTGAAAGTTAACTTCCAGACTCAGAGCAGAAACATTTTGTATATGTCATTAGAACGTGCCTTTCTGTGCCTGTAGAGGCCAACCACAGCAAGGTGGAATTTTACTGCTCTACTGGCAGAATGCAAACTACAGAGCAACTTACGAGCAGGGTTCTCCTGGTTTCAGCTGGGATACAGTTTATTTCCTGCTTAGTAGCTGGTCCAGGGCTCTGTTTTGGATTCAGTATGAGAATAATGTGCATAACACACTGATGTGCAGAGCAACGAGGCTGGTGAAGGGACTTGAGCACAAGTGCCATGGGGAGAGGCTGAGGGAGCTGGGGGTGTTCAGCCTGGAGAAGAGGAGGCTCAGGGGAGACCTTATCACCCTCTACAACTCCCTGACAGGAGGTTGGAGTCAGGTGGGGCTTGGTCTCTTCCTCCAGGCAACCAGCAGCAGGACAAGAAGGCACAGACTCAAGGTCTGCCAGGGGAGGGTTAGGTTGGATATGAGGATGCAGAGAGAGTGATCAGGCATTGGAATGTGCTGCCCAGGGAGGTGGTGGATTCACTGTCCCTGGAGGATTTTAAGATGAGACTGGATGTGGTACATAATGCCATGGTCTAGTAACCACAGTATGGTTGGACTTAATGATCTTGGAGGTCTTTTCCAACCTGGTTGATTCTATGTTTTAGTTGTTGCTAAACAACTGTAAAAAAAATAATTCGCAAAATAGGTGTCAAAACAAGAGCAGGACTTTTCAAAATTCCTAAAAGTGAAAGGTTTTTTTTTTCAGGTGAAATAATCATGCCATAAGAGTAGAGAACTATAAAACAACTTATAGTTTTCAAAGAGAACAACAACAAAAAATTAATCAAACAAAATAGCATGCTTTAACATACCATATTGAGCACATTCTGCTACTACCTGGGAACCAGCAGCATCCATAATTGCTTTGAAGACTCCTTAAATCAAACAAGAAAAGCATATATATTTATTAAGCCAACTAAACTATCTCTACTCAAAACTCTACCCAAGTTCTATACTCTACAAATACCCTAAATTCTTGTATGGCAACTTGTATTCCACAAAGTGCAAAACCCTGGAGTTCCCCTAAGCACCCTCCGTGACACACTGCACTGGCTGCAGACAGAACACTGCCTTCACTGTTGATTAGAAATCATCAAGAACAACTCATATTTCATCATTTTACCAGCCAAACCTGTATGCCCCTCACCAAACTCTCCAATTGCTTTGAATTATATAATTTGGTATCTTTCATGCTTGTAATTCACAATGTCAGAACCTTCTGCTTCTTACAGGTCAACCTACTTAACCAGGACTTCACCTTATACTGAAATATTTTAGGACATGAGCAGTTTTACAGAATTATACTTGATCTAAAAAATCCCTTTTATTTAAGAATTTTTGTTTTTAAGCAAGAAAAATCTGGTCAGATGCCTTCTGTTTGGAAACTAAATGGAATATTCAGGGCACGTAAAAAACCTGTTTAAAATCTATCCAGACTAATCACAACTCCCTCTCTCATCTGAAAAATGCTTCACAAAGTTTCCCTTATTGACAATTCTTCGCCCTACTGCCTTCTAAAAAGTAGCCCAAAGTTATTGCTAAAGAGCTACATATTCAGTAAAATACCTGCTGTAGAGTCAAATGATGGATCTGATATGTTTACAATAACCTCTGTATCTTCCTTGGTGATATCTCCACTAATTACTTGGAGTGTGACGGAACCAATCTTCATTTCATGAACTCCCAATACTTCAGTAGAAACAGGCGTAATGAAACCTGCAAAAGAAAGTTAAATACCTTAAATAATTTCTCCTCTAGTGTGGGATATTATTCTCTTCCACTGATGGAAACTTCTACTTAACCTTGTAAGGACTATACTCTTTATCAGTTTGATGTATGTAGAGTGTCTCTGCTTTTCTCTTTGCTCCATTTCTGAAAGCTGGAAGGCACAGTATTCTTCCTGTTTAAATGCTGTGAAAGTGAAATCATTTCTATTCCTGTAAATTCATGCAATACGAATTCAGAAAGTGGCCTCAGGTTTCATCTGATCTGACCAGCTCTGTAATGGAGTTTCCCAAATTAACTCCTACAAGAAAGGGAGTATCCAGCTTAAGAGTTGCTAGTAATGGAGATCCCATCACATCACTTTTGTCAGTTATTTCATTTTTACCTTCACAGATCTAAAACTGTTCCTTACTTCTAGTCTAAACCTATCTAATTCATATTTTATCTGCACATTCTCAGCTTCATCTCTCTGATATTCACCAGTTGAGAAGAAAGAGCTATACATCCTTATGATTGAGCCTCTGCCCTTGATGCCATTCACTCATGTTTTTGCTGTTGTGTCACACCACTATCAGCTAATAAATGGAAAGGAAATGATCCATTCTGGGTATCTATATATAGGAGATTAAAGGCACAGAAATATATGTTATTTATGGTTTGTTGACAAAGTGAACCAAGTTCTTATACCCTTTAAGCAGGACAAACCCATGGGTCTCCTATCCTCTTCCATATAAGACTGGCCTCACTAAATGCTGAGCATGCACTCAAGAAAAGAAATTCCTATGCAATACTTTTACTAATGGAGTTTAAGAATGCAAGTCTATCAGGAGGGAAAAAATGCCCTGTGTCCTGATGATATTTCTTCTGTTTCCCGATACATATAAAACCCCTTAATAGTATTTATATTCTCCCCTGTGTCCCACCTCCTGCCCCTACACAACTTACTTGGCTGTGGTGCTGCAGCATTGGGACTTTCAGCTACCCTAATTTTCAATTCAGTGGTAAAAGCCTAAGAAGAGAAAAAAGATAGTCCTTCAAAGTTTATACACCTAATATTTCTATAATTAACATAAGCAATCATGTAGCTCTTGCTGAGCCACCTGATGCATTTTACAGTCATATATAGATGTCATTAATAACAGCTGGAGACCCTGTGTGGACAGTGTGATAAGAGGGAGTCTCTGCATTGCCAAAACTCCTCTGTCAAAAGATGAGGGAGCATCTACAGGCATTGACAGTGCCAGCAGCAAGGCCAATTTTGTCTGCAGCTTGAGCATACTGAGAGTTTATATTTCAGAGGCACTGGAGAGACATCCCACTGTCACTGGCCCACGGTAGTAAGAAAGTGCTAAGTTATTCTCTTAAGAAAGCAACGTAACTAAAATAGATTATTAAGGCATAAGTAGAACAGTAGGTAACACAGGCAGCTTTGTCCTGAGAAGAACTACCTGAATATTATCAATATCTTTTGGATTCAAGAGAAAATTAACTTCCTGAAGATTCTTCCGAGTGTGACTACTGCTGAACTTGAATACAGCATCAAACATTAACTTAGAAACAATGACTTTAGGAAATCCAAATCCTCCAGTTCCAATAGCTGGGAAACTGATTGATTTCAGTCCAAGTTCTTCCGTTTTCCTCAAGCAGAAATTGATCACATCTTCCAGGATCTGTAAAACACAGCAAAGATACTTTTTTTTAAACAGGCATTTATTATTAGTTCCACAGAGACTAACTGGTATGAGAAAAGCTCTTGGTGCATCAAAGCATCTTTAAAGTCATTCTAATAGAAGCAAATGGAGTTATCTAACCTAACTATTTTAAAACCTGAAATTTCAGGATAGATCCCAAGAAAATCTATTTTCAAATTTTTTTTAATAATTAAGATGTACCTTCTGTGTCTGTCCTTTTCCTCCATTCCACACAGGCAGTATGGCATGAAACACAGACTTGCAGGCCAGAGCACATCCACTGGTGCAGACCACACTCCCTTGGCCAGCAGACTGGCTTTGCTTTTCGTTCTCAAACTCTGTTTGGAGCCCTGGTCCAGCTGTTTCCAGCAAGGCTTTGCAAAGAGGCCCCACACCAAACTTCAGATCTGTGCCAACACTGTTGACAATAACATCCGTCTGCAACAAGAGGACAGCAAAAATATCTATAGCCAGACTTCAAGTAAAAACATGCATTGAGGCTAGTAGCACTACCAAAGCAACACACAGCATAAGAAATAAGATGCCAGTGGAGAAATAACCTGGTTTTCAGCACAGCTTCTGAATACTAAGTATTCCTGGACTTGTAGGAAACGTGGTAGACAGCATCAGACTCACTGTAAACACCAACACCACAGGTACCTATGTGTGAGCAGGTCATCCATCCATCCATCCATCCATCCATCCATGCATCCATCCACTCATAGCTGCTGACCCTCATTGGAGGTGAGGCTGTGACTCACTTTGTCCCAAGCAGATGCCAATGTTTGGGTAAGTGAAATAAACCCAACTTCTGCTATCTGTCTCATGCTCTCTCCCCAGACTTTCCTACATTTCCTTGTGAAGAACGACTGCAGTATTGTTCCTTCTTCTCTAGCATCATCACAGGATGCAAAATATATGTATTGTGTAAGACAATCATCATGTAGGAAGTTTATTATCTCTTTCCTCCATTTCACTGGTGTGGGATTGTCTACACCTCATCAGAAAAGCAGCACCTCATGCACCAAAATGGGGTGAAGGGAGGTGGCTGTGCTGTCATGAAGTAGAAGAGGCAAAGTCCTCAAGTTTGGTGATTTCTTTGGGTTTTTTCCACTGGATGTGATTTACTCACAAAGTGTTTTAGATGTGTATCATATTGAGGTTTTTTTACATCTAGTATTGCTTTCTTGGAATCAGCTTTTACAGGCACCAAAATGACAATTGAAACAGGAGGACAATAATAATTTAGGAGGATTTTAAACTCCCAAAGTACAAAAATCAGCAGGTGTTGAAAAAGTGATTTATCCAGACACACCTTATACCTCTGAAGAAAAAAAAATAAGGGAAAAACTACATGGAAGGTGTAAATTGAGTCTTGATGGTCTAGATGAGCAGTAGTTAAACTCTGTTAGCAAAAAGAATGGAAAAAAGAAAATGGGAGAAAAATAAGCAGCATCACAGACTTTTCTATGGGGTCTCTGTCCTGGGTTGCAGTGTATGGGGTATCCACGGTATGTATTCTATTATCATCTCCACAAGCTGTTAAAGCAGGTGGGGCAGTGATCGTTATCACCTTGCCCCTCCCTCAGGGCAATCCTGATGGCTCCCTCAGGGGCTGTCTATGATTAAGGGGCTGTCAAGGACCCATGCAGGACACATCCTCCCAGTGATCCTTATCGCCTTGTCCCATGGCGAGGTGACTCACCCCAGGGGTGGGGAGCCAAACATGCTCACAGGGATGTAAACTGGGGCTTGGACCAGCACAGGGAGCCCTTTGCCTGCTGGATTCCCAGAGGACAAGAGCTGCTGCTGGACCTTCAGGAGAGAACCGGATCTGCGGGATCACTGCTCCAACAAACCCATCGCTCCAGGAGGATGCAGCCACCATTTAATCGGACTGCTACTACACCCTGACTGACAGGGTGTCAGGTTACTTTCTGACTCTGTCAGGTTATTTTCTGACTCTGTCAGGTTACTTTTTTTTTTTGTACTGTTGCATTTGTGTTGTTTTGTTGTGTTGTTCATATTAAATTGTACTTCTGACTCAGAGTCTCTCACCGGTTTGCTTTTCAAACCAGCACAATCTCTTTTCTAGAGCTCAGTAAGTTCTTCACAGACTGTTGCTTTAACCCATTCAAAGAAAAGGGCACTGAAAAAGCCCAGCTACACCCTCTCTGTTAGCATAACCACAACAACAGCCCCGACAGGAATCAATTTCCCTTAATATCCACCCTAGATGCAGAGCATATAAATACTTTTAGGAAGTATGGTAATCTTTCCCCTTTAGGAAAAAAAGAAAACTGTTTTACATGTTTGCCTTAGATCTGGAAAACAAATAAAACATAGCTGGGAATGAAACATCCTGAAATTCATAGCTACCCTCTAGAAGTGGCTGCAGAGTGAGAGATCCCAGCCTGAAATCAGTTTTGCAAACTTGCATCCTTGTTTAGCTCACACACAGCTATTGTTTCCTTAGGCCGCAAGTGCCTTGTAAAACAGTATAATCTAACGCCCTTCCACTTTGTACTTAAACTTACAGAAGATCTACACATCAAGCTAGAGAAGAGGCAGAAAATTAAAGACCTACCGTGGCTTCCTGAATGTTTTTCTCCTCTACCCGGATGCAAAGTCCTTCATTCGTTGTAACCGTTTTCAGATCATCTTTTCTCTTCCCCTGCCTTTTTTTCAGCTTGCAGCTTTCCAAGTGTGATGTCAGCAGTTTTGGGGCTGATGATTTAGCTGAAAACACGTTTTTTACTGTCTCGGTCAGAACCTCAACAGTTTTCTCTACATCATTGACAAGATGAACCTCCTTCAAGCTGCTCTCCCCCATGGATTCTTCCAAGGCCTCCTTGATGGAGGCTACAATCGAATATGTACACAGTTCCAGTGGGAAGCCAAAAAGCCCTGCACTTACAGCAGGCAGAGCTATGGAACGATGATTGTATGTTTCAGCTAGTTGTAGACTATTCTTCACTGCCTTCCTCAATGACTCCACGCATAGTTCTGCTTCCTCCTTGCTCCACCTGGGCCCAACAGCATGAATGATGTTCTTGCAGGGGAGTTTCCCAGCGCCTGTGATAACTGCAGAGCCAGGCTGCAAATTCCCCTTCTTCCTCACCAGCTCATTGCACTCCTCTTGCAGCTCTGGACCAGCAGCATTTAGCAGTGCTGCAGCAAGGCCACCGATGTGACTTAAGGTTTCATTAGATGCATTCACCACAACATCAACAGGGTAATTAGACAAGTCACCTTTATACACTGCTACTACAATTCCACATGGCAGGATTTCTTCATAGTAGAGCTTTCTATTCCTTTTATCATCAGCTTTTTCATCCTTTTGTTTTTGTTGTTGTTCTTCTTCTTCTTTTATCCTAATCAAACAGCCAAATTTCTGCTTTGCCTCAAAAACACATGACTCTTTCCTATCAATGAAGAACTGTTTGGCTCCTGGTTTATCAATTGACGCATTTTTTGAGTAAAGGGATGAGACAATTTTTTCAAATGTGGTGACTGCTCCTGGCATTTCTGCTCTTGATCCCTTCAGGGAAATACACGGTGTCTTGGTGTCAAAACATACTGTCACACCTTTCTTCCTCAATTCTTGATAAATACCAGATTTCTCCTTCTCTACAAACTGCACTACCACCACAGAATTCGCTGGGATTACTTTTTCCATGACCGTGTTTCTATCTATGAAATCATTAAGTTTCTGATAAACGTCTGTTACACCCTTAGAAAAGCCTGCAATAATCACTTTATTTTCTTTTCCAACAGACTGTTCAGTAATTACAGTTTCCTGGGTAGAATTGTATCTCTTTATCAAGGAGGCAAGAAGATTCTTCCACTGAGACTTTTTAAGGACCTCACCATCCTCCACATTGATACACTTGTAGTCTAAGCCTGTTCTTATTTGCTTTTCTGCTTCGAAAAGATCTTTGGGGGCATCTCCATACAGCAACACAGTATCATCCTCAAGTTCATAAAAGGCATTACATTTTTTCTTAATGAATAATGTCTCTGACATTGTTTTATTATCTACACTCTGTAGATACTGGAAAACATGGGGATCAATGGTAACTGATGTAGATGGTATATTCCACGCCTTTTCCAGTAAGTCAGCTTTGATTTTATATACTTCTGCAGGTAATCCACACAACTGAACTGCCTTTTTTTGGGCATCATAAAAGATCTTTAAGCATGGATATTCCTTGTGAATATTCTCTTCTAACCCAGCATTGTGCAGCACAGTATACTTCGCCGGGATCACTGACACAGCAATTTCTATGCTTTGTTTCTCCCTTTCACTTTGCTTCATGGCTTTTTCCATGCTTTCCCTCACTTCTCTCTCTGCACTGTCCACTGCTGCTCTACTGCCTGCAATCACCACCATGTCCTCAGAAATATCAGTTATGATCAAAGCAGCATCTTTCAATAATCTGCTTTTCACATCTTCCCAATCTGCTGAGTTTACTTTGCATTTTATAGCTATGTAACGTGCCATGATACGAGAGAACTCAGCAGAAACATCTTGCTTCCATGTCTTGATCACCTTAATCACTGGGTGTTTCTGCTCGGAGAGAGATGACGATGGGCACAACATAACTTCTGGGTTTCCACAGTCTGTCTGGGGCCATTTTAGCTCACAATGGCAAACTGCCATTTCCTGGTCTATGCCTTGGATCAGCTTTGCATCCCTTTGTAAAAACTCCCAGACATACAGGTCTAGTGGCACCCCAATGGGGTCTGGCATCTTGATACTTGGTCTTTCTTCTCCATAGAGAGCTGTTCCCAGGGAGTGGTAATATGGATACACAGAGATCAGCTTCTGTTCCAGTAAATGCTGCTTTGCCAAGACCGTGTTTAGATCTAAAAGGTAGTGCAAATATATACAAACACACTTTTATCACTAACTCCAAATCAAGCAAATGTCTCTGTTCTTTGAAATATTACATCAATTTTGGGTTTTTTTCTATTTCAAAGAGCTATTTTGATGACTTCCTGATTTGCAAACTACTCTGTAGGGTACAAGTATGCAGGCTCCAACTAGTCTGGTAAAGATGTCTACATTTACATGTAAAGCTATACCTTGCTCTTGTTTTCTAAGGAAACCAACCCAGAGCAGGGCCATATCAACATACTCCTTACTCTCAACTTAAAATAAATCTCTTTATACCAGTGAATTTTTACTTTTTTTTTTTTTTGCTATTTCAGTTGGAATGGACTAAGCAAAGGAATTATAATAATGGCGGGGACTTAAGACAACATTACAATGATCCAAATTACATGTACTTAATGTACAAAATACTTGTCCTGGGTTGCAGTGTGGGGGTAGCCAGTGGTATGTACTTTATTGTCTCTCCACAAGCTGTTAAAGCAGGTGGGGCAGTGATCGTTACCTCTTTGTCCCTGCTGGCTCCCTCAGGGGCTGTCTCTGTTCAGTGGGCTGTCTGGGACTCAGGCATGCATAGTTACATCTTCCCATTGTGAGATGCTTCACCCCAGGGGGGAGCCAAGCATTCCTACATGGGGGTGGGGAGCCAAGCATTCCCACAGGGATATAAGCTGGGGTTTGGACCAGCACAGATTCCCTTCCCCTGCTGGATTTCCAGAGGAAAAAGCTGCCACTGGACCTTTGGGAGAGGACCAGATCTGCGAGATCACTGCTCCAACAGACCCATCATTACTCCAGGGGGACTGCAGCCACCATTTAATCGGACTACTACCACCAACACCCTGACTGACAGGGTGTCAGGTTACTTTCTGACTGTCAGTGGTTCCTTTTTGTACTGTTGCATTTGTTGTTTTGGTTTGTTCCTATTAAATTGTATTTCTGACTTGGAGTCTCTCACTGGTTTGCTTTCAAACCAGCACAACATTCTTAAGAAAATTCTGAGAGTCAGAAGAAAAACAATCACCTGGCAGATAATTCTCTTAACACAGATACATTTACCAGAAGTTGTGCTGGCACAAAAACAGGACAGTGATTCAACACAAGGAATAGCAACAAAATAGTTCTTTAGATCTGTTGTTCCCTGCTAATGAAGATATTTGGCTTTAATTTATTTCTCAAAGTTAACTGTGAAAGCTGAAGTCACTGACAGATCCTGCTCCCACTACCTGTAAGTACAAAAACCCAACAAAAGAGGATCTGAAACCCTAGACATGCAGCAGTATTTCTAAATCCAAAGCACTTCCCAGGAACAGGACAGTGCACACTGCCTTTAGCACGGCAGGCCAGGCCTCTCCTAATAGCCAAATTTGCAGCAATTTTCTTTCAGGTCCTCTGTCCGAGAGCACCTTGGCCAGGAGAAGGACAGTGTTACCTTTGCGATCACAGAAAGTAATGATGGCTGAGTTCTCCTCGGGGAAGTGCAGGACATCGGACACGGGGCCCCCTCCGTTCCGCACGCTCTCAAAGTAAACTGTGAGGTAGTCTGTGGAAACACTGTCTGGCAGCTTTTCAGCCTTGATAGTCTGGGTCAATTCAAGAAGACTGACAGTCATCCTGAATTCTTTAACTCTCCTGTGTTGTGAACATTTTTGGACAAATTCTTCAGTATCTGTAAATAGAAGAGCAGTGTGAACTGACCCTCTTTGCCTGAGTCATCATCAGCCCTGGCTGTCACTTCTGGCAGAGACAAACTGAGTCTCCTTCTCCCTGTATTTGGAACAAAACCGCCTTTGGTGCCAAATAACTGTGTTGTAATAAAAAAGGGGAAAAGCATATAACCATGTTACTCTCTACTGTTCACTACCACTATGTTCCCACCTCTTTAGTATACTATCTTCTCAAACGGAGACTTTATAAAGCCCAGTAATTCGCAGAAATGCCCACACTCAGTGCACTTCTAATTCACAGTCACGGAATAATCAGAGTTGGAAGGGACCCACAAGGATCATCGAGTCCAACTCCTGACCCTGCACAGGACATGCCCAAGGATCACACCATGTGCCTGAAAGCGTTGTCTAAATGCCTCTAGAACTCTGTCAGGATTGGTGCTGTCACAGCCTCCCTGGGAAGCTGTTCCAGTGCCCAAACACCCTCTGAGTGAAGGACCTTTCCTAATATCTAATTTAAACTTCCCCTGACACAACTTCAGGCCATTCCCTCAGGTCCTGTCACTGGTTGATAGAGAGGTCAGTGCAGCCCCTGCACTTCCTTTCATGAGGAAGGTGTGTATAGCAATGAGGTCTCCCTTCAGTCTCCTCCAGGCTGAACAGACCAAGCGACCTCAGACACTACTCATATGCATCTGTTAGGGTTTTTTAGGAGCTCCCCTTTTGTTTTAAGGAATTTTCCCCCATACATGTTATCAGAAGACGTTGATGGTCGGATACTTAAGAGAGACAAAAGACCTCAGCCACTGGGGCGGGACACCTTTTTCTTTTACAAAAGACCTCCCAAAACAGGATAGAAACAACAAAACATTCTCATCCAAATTCAATTAATGCAGATGCCACGATTTTCTTTTTTCACTGTAGCATTTGGATCATGGGCACTTTTGTGGAGCTGGATATAAGACACCTTTCTTGAAAGACTGAAACCCAGGTACTTTTTTAAAACAGTCTGGATCTCTAACAGGAGAGGAATCAGGCTCTGACAGCTGTTACTCACACACATCATGGAAAAGGATGGTGTCATCTTAGCTTACCAATACTTTTTATAAAGGTAACTACAGCAACGTTTATTTCAGGTATCACTTCCACAGTGAAGTCGTCATCTACAGCTAGGCCACTGATGTTCTCCAACAGCATACGTAAACAGTTCAAACTGCATCTTTGTATGTTTTCAAACACCACTGAAGGTGAGGCCTCTGCAGAGCCAGCCTTCTCCTGGAGTTCACTGTTTGGAATAAAGGTCTTTGCTTTCTCCAAGGTTTTTGCATCACCTGCAGCAGAAAGAGAAATAAACCACCTAACATGTTGGTACACATTTCCTGGAATAAACAGATTTTTCTTACCCTTTCTCTCCTTTCCTTCCCCAAGGAAAGAGATTACTAACCAAACAAATATTGAAGGGTACCCTTGGACTTTTTGGGATCCAAAATAGCCCAGACAGAAGATTCTGCAGGGCTGCAGGCAGCTTCTTTGGTGGCACAAAATTAGGCATGAGTAAACAAGTCCAAGATCACTGGTATGTCTCTGGGTCAGAGACTAAAATAAAGTAAAATAAAATAAAACCCATAGAGATAATTGGCGACGGATGCTCACGTGTCAGCAAGGCTCAGGTGTCAGCCTCTGCATCTGTTTCTTGGCCAGGTGCAGATATAACAAGCCTGAACATAGCTCAGGACACCCACAGGCTCCTCAGGCCACCAGTAGCTCTGTGTGACTCAGAGTAAAGGCTCCTGATGACCACTGTGCCCTGCCATCAGTGCAGAATGACAGTGCTGAAGGGCCCACAGGCACAGAAGCCTGGCAGAGATGCAACAAAATTTTGCAAATAGAAAATATAAGAGGCATCCACTGAGTACCCCTGAAGTCCTGTGTTTGCCAGAGGAAAGCACATCACCAGCTTTGCAGACAGATGAGGGTGGAGGTGTGAGAGAACCTCCAAACAGGAATGACATGCTCTTCTACAAGACTACAAGCATCTGCTCCACTGTGTCCAATGAAGAAAACACAAAACATTCAAACCCAAAATCTACGCTGACCCAACAAAGCAACTGAGAGCAGTATCTGAAGATTTTCAGGGTACTACTCCACTAAAAAATAATAGATGGCAACTTGGAGAACCTAATTTTGAAAGAAGGAAAACCACCCAAAATGGCACTGAATAATACATATGTAAAGGAAAAAATAAAGGGGTAATTACTAAAGAACTTCCTGATTAACTGATCTGTCTTGGGCCTGAGTATTTCCTCTCCATGAATGCAGGTCTATTTGGGTGTGCAGTCCTGTTTTCTAGATTGCTTTCTGAATCATTCTGCTTAGCAGAATCTTACTGAAAGAATCCAACCAAAGTCACTGAGGTAATGAGGAGATGCACCACTTGCCTTCACAGACTCTTCCAACTGTAGGGAGCACAATGACACAAGGCCTGAGCTTAAGACCTTCAATTTACTGTGTTATTAGAGCTGCGATGATAAGGGAACTAAACCCCCCTCTGGAGATGCTCCTCCACTTAAAAAGGCTATTTTAGAAGCTAAAACCAGGCCTATGGTCTAACTCTGGCAAGGTGAATGCCATTCATGGTGATCAAGCCTGCAGCATCCCTGGCCACATTTCTTTCCCTGTATCACCTGAGTCATGCTGCCAAACTCAGAAACTTTCAGCAAAACTCCCCACAGAACTGCAGCCATCTGTGGAGAAAAGCACAGACTTTTTTTTCTATGAAGAATCAGCACACACAGCAATGATAACATTTTACCTTTTGTTTGAATTTTGCTGGTGGCATCCAGAGCCTAAAATAAAGTGAAAGCAAAATATCAGTGACTGATTTGACACTCTTACCACTATTTCAAAACTCGGGTTAGCTTACAGTTTTTATTCACCTTTGTGGGAACTAATTTTTCTTCAAATGTCTCCTCTTCAGCAGCTGGCGCTGTTTCAGGCTCTGTGACAATCAACTTCAGTTTTCCTTTTTCTCCCAAATGCAACTCATGAGACTGTCTCTCAAGAACTCGTTGCTTCACTAAATAAAACAAACAAACAAACAAAACAGTACAAATCTGAATAGAAATGCAGCTTTCAATTACATAGCAGTTTTCCGCCCTTACTTTAGGACTTTGTTATTCAGGAATGATATTCCCCAGTTTCCTGTACCCTTCTCCATCCCCCCGGGCATGGCCAGAGGTGGCGTTGAAGAACTATAGCCACGTCCCTCCTGGTGGCTGCAAAAGTTAACCCTGTCCTGGCCAGACCCAGGACAGACACATACACAGTCCCACAAAACGAAAGAGCTTTAAACTCATAACACCAACACAGTATGCACAAGGCTTTCTGCCTGAAACGAAAGCAGAACACCAGAGGATATTATTTCTGCAAAAATCCACCGGAGGTGCAAAGCTCAGCTCTATCACATGTTTCAGGGTAGTTCCCAGCGAGCACTGCCCCCGTGCCCTGCATATCCTCCCTCTTCCAGCCAGTGCCAAAACAGGCTAAGAGCTGTATATGCTCACCTTATCAGCTGGACAAGTCAGCAACACGGAAGCATAAGGGGAAAAAAAAACCAAACCATAACCCAACTGCAGCTAAATCCTTTCCCCCTTGCTCCAAATTTATCGAAATATGTGCATGTTATTATGCCATTTTATATACATATATATATATATCTGTAATGACAACTTACTAAGCTAGAGTAACATACGCTTTATCATTATTATTATTATTAGAATACTACTGTGCAATAAGATTAATATATATGACTACACGCCTGGTAGGATATATTTATTACGTTATACCCTAGAGTCAGGCGAAACACAATCCAGCAGCTACTACTAAGCATCAAACCTAGGCACAGATATAAGCAAACACTACCCTATATCGCGTATTAGGGGATGTGTACAACATACCACGTACTATAGACCTGTACATCACATCCTAGGCGGGATACAGGACATACACCTAGGTTTGTGGTCCCC